TTATGAAATATACAAATTAATATTTGTGTCCATGGTGAGTGCTTTTGATGGTTCTTTTGGAAAATGGTTGTTTAGCATTATCACCGGTGCTAACTCTCGTGGACTACTGTCAATGGTACCAGACCCGTTACTTACGGACGAATGTATCCCATTCCTTTAAGACACGATGGAACTCCAACAAATGATTCAGGAGTCGCAAGAAGGATCTCTCACCATCAGGTTGGAGGTTAGCCTGTTTCAGACGGACGAAACCAGCACTGCCCAAATGGCTCTGTCTACCTGAGTGACGAAGAACTCAAAGAACTCACCAACGGTGTATGCATCGCCGTGGGTGGGCCGCAACGGTTTGCTAGATGGAGAAATTAACAGAAGAAGGAAGACGACATGAGCTGGATTTAATTATTTTAAATATCATTTGCTCAAGTTTGGGTCACGCAAAGAGTGGTGCAGCGAAGAATATGCGTTTCATCTTCGAGATTAAGCACCAGGTGCACAAATTCGACAACAGACTGGATTAACAGATGTGATTTCAGCGTTTTGTAACGCCAAGAGAAGATTGACAGGCAAGGTGATGCTTTTGAGGGAGAACACGTTTACGTTTTTATTAATAAAATGAGTTTCGCTGGATCACCAACATTCAGCCTGTCATCGAAGAACGGAGGGACGATCTGATGGTCATATTACATTGCCAGCGAGGGAAGCACAAAACGGAGAATGAAGAATACCGGAGGCACGTCGACTTGAGTTCATGAAGCATCAATGACGAGGACAACTCGGATAACGGATAATAGATCAATGCTGAAATAAAACATGTACATGATCGGTGCGCTGTCATCGACATATGGTAGCCCAATCGCCACGCGCCATATTCCATTTAATTTGCGTGTCCTTGAAAATGGGACAAATTTTTAGTACTTAAAAGTCAGTATTTCTGTCGGAAGCAGAATTACGAAAATGGAACCTAAGGTGGTCGTTATCGTGCTGTTCTCAATTAGTTCCATAAATCCCGCTATGATCTCCCATGGCCGATAAGGTATCTGACGTATCTGACCCTGAACGCGATTGCCAATCTGCTTCGACACTGTATGGTACATACGTTAATGTACCCTGTGGTAATACTGAAAATCTGAATGCATAGGTTGTGCTTGGGCAAGAAGAATAATTCAAGATCAATACTTTCCGAATAAATTCTTTAAACAAGAAAGCACACGATGACCTTGGAACTTTTCACTGGACCAGCACTTCACCAAATTTTGGAGGCACAAAACCGATTTCCAATTGGGAGAGTCAAAATACACGTGATATACGGTCGGCGTTGGCGCTTATGAGTACACTGCAACATTAGAAGTCCTTGGGTGGGAGGGGGACGTCAGCATCTAGAAATCAACCTTTTCAACTTGTGCAGAAAAAACATTACATTTTGTTGGCTAGGGCATTCACGGGAGATTTCTACATGATCTACTGATCGACTGTGAATCTTTGATGCATTTCAGTCTCAGTCTGCTGAAAATTGGCATAGAGCGAAATTGCATCGTAGAATTCTCCAAGTCTATCAGCCTTTGGTGAGAAAGGCTTGCGACCTTGAAGCCATATTTCAGAGACTTAGTCGCATTCAGAGTAAGACTATAACCAGATAATCAGGCGCTGGCTTCATTAATACCCGTGAAGAAAAATAAGGAGTGGTCGCCTTTATATGAGCACTGGCCAACATGTCGTCCTCGTACCGTACGCAAACCGGGGTATACTGAGTTCGGTGGCCTCTAACCATGTGAAGAACAAAGGTGGCTAAGTATGACAGACAAGATTCGTGCGTGGCTCGAAGGAAATCAGGAGATTGTTGCTAACGTTACATTGAGTGTCATCCAGGACAACAATAACGACGTCTCGAGGAACATTCCTCATTATCCACGAAAAGCAAATGCTTTCGTGATAAACTCGCGGAAAAAGTAAAAGTTCGCAATGCTAGGACTTTTCAAGCCTACAGACGGTTAGATTGAAAAAATAATGTGAAGCGATTTTTTCCCAAGTTGGGCCATCACGGAGGTAGAAGACAAAACAACTGAAGCTATTGATCAAACTTTGCAGACTAGTAGAAGACTCCTAAATAAGTGAAAATCGATGAACGGGTCCTGAAATAACTTGGCACACATTTCACGTCCAAAACATTCGAAATAAAAGCTACATTGTTTAAGTGACCTCACAAGGCGAAGGAACGGCGACTGGCTGAAAAGAAGAATTGAATTACAAAGCTTGGTCCTGGAACGAGACCAATACTAAATTCGACGGATGGGAGCTAATCTAAAAGCAAAATTCTTTAGGATATAATTATGGCAAACAACTGGAAGGTAGAGCAAAGAATAATAAGTCATTTTGCTTGTTTTCTGAACAGAAGACCATATTCGGTTGCTTAATTTGTTAATTTTTATGCGTTATGGATTGAGCGATGAAAATTTACCTAAAATGATCCAGCCTAACGTTGGCATGCCAAGTGGACTATATGGCTCCGGCGACACCGTTGGCGAATGGCTTGATGTAGGCAAATAGTCTTCGCTACGTAGAGGCAGCTCCAGCAGATATTCGGGACTGCGACACACCGCTAAACAGTTTTGCTTGTCGATTATGATACTCGGATTATCACGCAGCCACTGTCGAAACCATGCCAGTGACTGGTTGCAAGCCCATGGGTTTTCTACAATCACTGTGTTAGCGAAAGCGATCAAAAGGCATGTTAGACTTACCGCATAAATATAAGACTCGAGCCTCAGGCGTTGGCAGGAAAGTACCACTGAATGTGTCCGGATAGATTACTTTCAAGTTGTTGTTGCTTATGTCCAAGTTTCGAAGGCCTGGCAGACTTGCGAAGGCTCCATCGTCCACATCGTTCAGCTTGTTTCCGGCTAAGTTCAATGTGTTCAGCTTAGCCAGTCCACGAAACATATCTCCGCGTATTCTGCAAGAAAAATTATCCCGTGTTATGATGTTAAACTGAGCCATTTGATTCTATTACCATATAAATCAGTTGCAAATTATTTAAATTTGATGAACCTCACATGCATAAGTTTACTTTTCAATAACAGGCCATTATAAAAAGGCCAATTCATATTTAAAATTCCTGACCACTGTCATGTGCAGGACTTTGACGGATCAGCTCAACCATTGGAGTGTTGGATTTGGAGTTGAAAGATGGAGAGTTTGAATCCAAGCAGAAGCAATCACTGGCATTCTTCTGAGGAAGGTAAACGAGCACTGTCATTAACGAAGCAGGGAGTTTTTCGCAATAGTGTCTGCATTCTAACCATTGACATAGAAAAAAATTCATAACTTGAAACGTGAAATTATAATCAAACTTTGTGTTTACTTTCTCCAGGACTAAATATTATTAGCGCCTTCATGAAGGCAGGAATATTGATGTTGAACTGCAATGCGATCACTCCACTGCAATGCGATCACACAAAAAGTTGCATGTGTAGCAGGTGGCTTAGCAAACCACTACTAGGAGGTCAAATATTTTCTCACTTGTTCAAGGAGAACGATGTCGCGATTTACAGACGATGAGTGCGGACATCGACGAGGATATTCGGTCAGTAATCGTTAACGAAACGCCTAGCTGTTTTTTGTCATGACAAGAAGGTAAGGTTTGAACGTCACCCTGCCGCTGTGCTATAGTTTCTATGATTCAGCGTTTAAGCAAGGGTCAACATGACAATAGATAAAACCATATGGAGGTATTAAACAGCCAAGGAGGTAAGCTGCTGCAACAAAGTTATTTAAGGTATGTTCGTAAGGGCATCTGAGAAAACAAACAAGAATGATCAGACTTAATTATAACACGCAAAAATAAACATACACTGTTAAAAGGGGTCAGCTGGAAAAAACCAAAACGAAGATGAGTTGGCCAGGGTTTAAATAAACTTTGCGGAAATAAGACTATAATGATGCAGCAACTGTCATCGAAATCAAATGGAGTTATTAGATGACGCGTCACGCGTGAATAGCGTTTGGTAGCTTAAACCATGGAAAGGCACAAATCTAGCATCGTGATTAAAACGTACCGATGATGATGGCGTTAATGGCGATAATTATGGCAATGATCATGGAAATTCCGAAAATGAACGAGGGAACGTCAACGTCATGATTTAAGGCCCTGTTTCCTAAGATAGAAAGACATTTACATGTCAGAAAAATGCTCGAGCGCGGAGTAATTTCAATTACGATGCGAAAATGGAATTCGTTATGCTTCACTGAAATTTTTCAGTTTGTTCAGATAGTAATGGTATGTTCTCAATGATCCAACAGCCCGATCTTCAGTAGTTACGGTAGTCGTGATGGTTTGCAATTTGACAGATGACAGAACTGTGCTAGGCAGGGTTGACAAAACTTCTCGTGACTTTTAAGAGTGTTCAGATAGTTTATCAATAAATCTGGACAATTGGATTAGACTCTACCCTCAATAGTATTTCTCAAATAAAAACATATAACTTTTTCATCATTCCGTCCCTCTGAATAAAAAATGACAATTCATGTTCAACGAAAAAAACGACATCTGAGCAACAGACGAGAGATTATACTAAGAAACAGAGAGAAAATCTAGAGCTTGTATGTTGAAGACCAGAGTAGTAACGTCGTTCGACAAATTTTGCATTTGCATAGTCTCTGAATGGATGGAGGAATCTGTCAGGTTATAATAATTTCTGTATTTATGATAAGTTAAATGCCCAGTTAACATGTGAAGATCGCTTATAGCAACGCGCACGAAAGTCAGCTCCTCTACGAATGAACTGTTGAAATATGAGCCGATCCTTGCCGTAAAATATCGTGTTGCTCCCACAGGCTTATTCAGTGGGATGACAATCTTACCATCGTTCTCCAACAAATGTGAGACAAAGCGGTGAACGGCGCAATGCCACCTTCTTACTGAGAGGCAATCAGGAGGTTAGCTGCGTAACTGAGTTTCCTGACTACGTTCACTGGAATGATGAGGGAAAATGAATCATGCTGCATGACCATGGCCGATAATGACAAGCACACGTTCCATAATCTAATTCAAAGAAATGACAACTACTCTATCTGAGGCCACTGCAGAAAAGAGTTAAGCAATGTTGCTGTTTTAGCAGTTCTGAAAAACAAA